CAGAGACCCTGGTTTGCCAACAGCTTACTACTCTATCGTTCCTCTTTTTTTTTTTTTTTCCTTCTTAGTTAAAAACAACAAAAGCAATGTTTGCACATAGTAAAGCATTCCAATTGTATAGGGACATCTTTTGTTTCATTTTGAGGTAGGGGTTTCACTAAGTTGTCCAGGCTGGGTTAGTGGTCCTTTTGCTTCAGTCTCTGGAGTAGCTGGGAGTCCAGGTGTGCACCACCACATCTGTCCAGAAAGATTTAAAATGAAAAATGAAATGTTCCTCAACATACTTCTTATCCCCAATTCCTCTCCTCAAGACTATATGCTGTTAACACTTGTATAACTTTCCAGAAAAAAAATTAGATATACCAGCAAAATGCTTATATGTGAGGGATCAATCACACTGTACGTTTTGTTTGGCATCTTGCTTTTTTTCTTTTAATGTAGTTTGGTGACCTTTTCATATGAATATATGATATGAATCATGAATACATGATTGTTATCAAACTAAACAACAATCAGAGAGAGATTCTCTAGAGATTAGTTTTCTGTGGGAATAGACTAGCATAGCAATGGGACTGCATGCACATAGTAGAGTATGTACCTGTTCAAGGAGTTTGAGTCAAAGAGAAGTTTTAAAAGGCAAAATGAGGAGGATTACATAAGATATTTTTGAAGTAGTCCTTGGCTGTAGGGATCAATAACCTGGGTGGCGACAGTTCAAGACTAAACAGGCAGTTGTTGGGCAGACATCCTTACAGAAGTATTTATTATGTAGGGTTGCAGTGGTCTTTGTGCAAGGTTGTGTTTTTTGCTTGTTTTTTTTTTTGGCAGTACTGGGGTTTGAACTCAGGGCGTTGAGCTTGCTATGCAGGTGCTCTACCACTTGAGCCATAGCCCAAGCCCATTCTAATAGTCTTTTGTGATAGTTGTTGTTATCAGGAATAAACATGAGATACCCTCCTTCACACCCTCCTGGCTTTTAAAAATTTTAGTTCTTCTAGGGTTTGACACAAGTGACTCCATTTGAATCTGACTGTTTTAATAGTTGTTTACCCTTTCACAGAGTGACTATAATATCATTGATTTAACTTGTCCTCTATCGATGGATGTTTAAATTGTTTCTTTTTTCTTTTTTTTTGGCAGCACTAGGGTTTGAACTCAGGGTCTCACACTTGCTAGGCAGGTACTCTTTTACCACTTGAGCCACTCCAACCAGCTCAAATTGTTTTTCTTTTGTAGGACTGGGGCTTGAACTCAGGACCTTCAACCTTGAGTCACTCCACCAGCCCTATTTTTGTGAAGGGTTTTTCAAGATATGGTCTCGAAAACTGTTTGTCTGGGTTGGCTTTGAGCCGAAATTCTCCTGATCTCTGCCTCCTGAGTAGCTAGGATTACAGGCGTGAGCCAGTGGCTCCCTGTTCAAATTGTTTCTATGTATACAAAAACATGGGATGAAGCTGAGGCAGGAGGATCATGAGTTTGAAGCCAGCATATAGAGTTAGATGCTGTCTCAAAAAGTAAAACACAAAAACAAAGAAACCTAGCCAGGCATGGTGGTTCACAGCTATAATCCCAGCATTCAGCAGGCTGCAGCAGGAGGATCATGAATTTCATCCTTGCAAGCCACATCCCAACTTTTTTTTTTTTTCTTTGATATGGGGTCTTACTAGGTTGCCCAGATTTGTCTTGAACTCCTGGGCTCAAGTAATCCTCTTAACCTCAGCCTTCCAAGTAGCTGGGACTATAGACTGCACCTTGTTTCCATTTTAAGTTTTGACAAATATTGCCAAACTCCCCTCTAAAATAATGTCCAAATTATATCTCCACCAACACTGGGTCTTGTTAGCACATTGAAAAAAATGTGATTTTTACCAATGTGATAGGTTTTCTTTCAGTTCTGAGGAAGAATAAAAGGTAGTATTTAAATGGACTTTTTGTTTTGTGTGTGTGTCTTGTTTTTCCCTTCCTATTTCCACTGTCAAAGGCAGTAGCAGAAATGCTGGGAATGCTTGCTCTATGTAGAAAGAGGTGAGAACGAATGTGGGCTTTAGTCCGTGAGAACTTTCGGAGATGATTTATTTGAGAATAGTAGAATTTTTCAGATACATGACACTTCTCTTTTGTCTTTGAGCCAAAATGTTAACTTTAACTACTTTGGATGGAAAATTTTCTCAAAATTAAGACATTACTTAGGACTGGCAGAGTGACTCAAGTGGTAGAGCACCTGCCTAGCATTCGTGAGGCCCTGGGTTCAAACCCCAGTACTGCCGAAAGAAAGAAAAAAAAAAAGACAATTTTCTTGAGCTTAAAATGAATTTTATATAAGAAGATAGGAATCTTCTTGATGCCCTAGGCCTATCAGTTATGGCCCTGGGCTACAATTTAGCCTTGTCCTTAGGCCAGTTTGAAATTTTGAATATGTAGGAGTACTTAATACTCCTAGTTAATGGCCTCAGAGTGGTTTTTTTCCTAGGTCTTCTTTTTTTTTTACTTTTGACTTTTTACTAGCTGTTACTTTTATCTTTTATGTTTGTCAGTTTATCTGCTTACAGAGACTCCTCTTTTACTTTCTTCTTATTTGGTCTTTAGTTTTTTACTCATCACTCATCAAATTTACTCATCACTCATTACAAATATGTATAAAGTAGATGTAAATTGCCTTCTTTTTTGTGTGGTACTGGAGCTTGAACTCAGAGCCTTCATCTTGAGCCACTCCACCAGTCCTATTTTTGTGAAAAGTTTTTTCGAGATAGGAGCTCACGAATTGCCCAGGCTGGCTTCAAACCTCGATCCTTCTGATCTCTGCCTCCTGAGTAGCTAGGATTACAGGCATGAGTCACTGGTGCCCAGCTATGTAAAAAGTATAAGTAAATTGCCATTTAATAAGGTTGTCATGGGCCTTTTATAAGCAAAGTCTGTGCAGTAATCTATAGGCCTCGGGGAATCTATTTTGCCAGTAGAGGGAACTTTTTGCAGAGAAGTTGGGTGAGGTATGCTTGTAGAAAGGAAGAGTGGTTGGAGTTGCTACTGGTTGGCAGCTTGAAGGAGGCCTTTTGTGATTGCAGTAGAGGGAGATGATTACACTTGTTTTTTGGATGTGCAAGTTCCTTATATGAAGTGGCATACCATTCATATATTTGCATATAAAACATACACATCCCCTCCCATATACTCAATGTCACTTCCAGATTACTTATAATACCTAATAAAATGTAAATGACATTTAACTAGTTGATATCTGTATTGTTTAGGTAATAATTACAAGAAAAATGTCTACATGTTCAGTATAGACACAACTCCACCCCCCAATATTTCTAATCTGCAGTTTGTTAAATTTATGGATACAGAACCTGGGGATACATACCTTCTCTGAGCAAAATGGGTCAGTAGATAAAGGAGTAATTGATAGCTGATTGGGGTTTGTATGATGGGAAGAGATGGAGGGGAGAGCATAGGGAAGAGGGTAGGCATCTCTGTCTTCCTCATTTCTGGGCGGATTTTAAACTGATTTATACTTGTTCTACTTAGCAGGGTTTTTTCTTGTTGTTTGTTTTTTTTAATAGGACTGGTGTTTGAATTCAAGGGCTTTGTGCTTACAAAGCTGGTACTTTACTGCTTGAGCCAGGCCTTCAGTCCATTTTTCTCTGGTTATTTTGGAGATGGGGTCTTACGAACTGTTTGTCAGGGCTGGCCTCCTAATTTCAACCTCCCAAGTAGCTAGGATTAAAAGCATGAGCCATCAGTGCCTGGTGACTTAGCAGTTAAAAAAGAAGTGTGCCTTTTAACTTAGTAAACATACTTTAGCCAAAGTACTCTGCCAGATGCTGTGAGGGCTATCAAACTGAATAAGACATGCTCACACCTTCAAGGTACTTGTAGTTCAGCAACAGAAGTAATGGAAGGAATTAAGCAAGGGTGGTGGAGTTCAGTCAGTTGGGAATCTTTTACTGGCAAGTAATAGAAAATCCAACTCAGACCAGCTAAAGCAAAAGGGACTTAATTGGTTTTTGGCCCAGCTTGAGCTGGGACTCTGATGGCATCCCCATGTTCCATCAGCTGGGTTAGGCTGTTGACTTTGTTTGGCTGGCTCTTCTGGTGGTGTGGCAGCAGCGTCCCCCACATCCTGCAAAGATTCTTTTGCTTTTCATTGGCCCTGATTTTAAGACCCATAGCCATCTCTGAGCCATCTCTGAGCACTCTGATGATCTGCACATAGGCTGTGTTGATTGTAGTCCATCCTACACACCTGGAGCCTGGGGATGGATGGATGCAACAGCTGTGTGCAAAGCACAGGCAGTGCATGCTGAGTAGCCAAGGACTCAACCGAATGTTTCTGCAAAGGGGTGATAAAAGGGATGGCAGATTGGGTCATGGAGACTTTTTTAGTTTGGGGTATTTTCTATATATCGAGCTTTGAAGATAACAGCACTCAGCATGTAAGAGCATTGATTCTGGAGGCTGACAGAACAAATTTTGAGTCCTAGCTTTGTTAAGGCCGAGTCCCCTCCTGTCCTCAATTTCTTTATTGGAAAAATTGGGACATTATTAGTACTTACTCACAGGGTTTTAATTTATTTATTTTTATTTATTTATTTAGAGACAGAGTTTCACTGGATAGCCCAAGCTGGCCTCTAACTAACCATCCTTCTGCCTCGGCCTCCTAAGAGCAGGAATTGCAGGTGTGCAACACCACACCTGGCTTCCTTCACAGGGTTTTCATAAAAATTAATAGAAAGAATCCATGTAAAACATCCTGTACCCACATGCGGTTAACTATAGTTATTTTTTGTTCATTTTCATTAATTAACCGAGTTGGATAACCTCTTGGTTTTTGTTAGATCCACAACCTATATCATAAAAACACAGTTGAAACAGTGGTTCTGGAAGAATTTTTTTTTTTAATGAACATTTAATTGTAGGGCTGGGATTCGTGAATTAACTTAAATAAAAATCTCAGCAGAGATACAGGCCCCTCCAGGGCAGCAGCAGCAGCCGACGGAGAGATGGAGATGCAGTCCTATTGTGCCAAGCTCCTGGGGGAGCTAAATGAGCAGCGGAAGAGGGACTTCTTCTGCGACTGCAGCATCATCGTGGAAGGGCGCATCTTCAAGGCGCACAGAAACATTTTGTTTGCTAATAGCGGCTACTTCCGCGCCTTGCTCATCCACTATATCCAGGACAGTGGACGGCATAGCACGGCCTCCTTGGACATTGTCACCTCCGACGCCTTCTCCACCATCTTAGATTTCCTGTATTCTGGGAAGTTGGATTTGTGTGGGGAGAACGTGATTGAAGTTATGTCGGCTGCCAGCTACCTGCAGATGAATGACGTGGTGAACTTCTGTAAGACCTACATCAGATCGTCCCTTGACATTTGCCGGAAGATAGAGAAGGAGGCTGCCGTGGCTGCTGCGGTGGCGGCGGCAGCTGCAGCCGCAGGTCATCAGGTGGACAGTGGCAGCCCCAGTTCAGGCAGGGAGGGGACCTCCTGCGGTAGCAAGAGCTTGGTGTCCTCCCCCGCCCAGGGAGAAGGAAGCGTGCACTGCACGAGAGCGACCCCTTGCGATGACTGCGGGGATTGCCACCCCTTGGAGCTGGTGGTGAAAGACAGCCAGGGCGGTGGCTTGGCTGACAGTGACCCATCTACTCTGTCCAGAAGAGTGGAGCCCAAGGTGGAATTTGATGCCGCTGGAGCCAAGGTGGGGGCTGGTGACCAGCTGCAGCAGTACGCAGCCCCGCTGGGCCCGGTGCACATGGAAGAGGGTCTCCCCGGCAGCCAGGCGGTGGACTTGGCTTACAGTAACTACCACGTGAAGCAGTTTCTGGAGGCTCTCCTGCGCAACGGGGCTGTCCAGAGCAAAGATGACTCGGACCATCACTTTTCCCGGAGTTTGGAGGGAATGCCAGAAGGTGCAGGAGTAGCCATGAGTTCTGTGATGGACGTTCAGAATGACTGGTATGGAGAGGACTCAGGTGAGCTCCATTAGTGTTCATCATCTCTGCGAGCACCTCACTCCTGTGCCTTGTGTTCTCCCGTCATCGTGATTGTCATTGATATGGTCATTGTCACTGCCGTCATCATCACCACCATAATCATCACCACCCTTATTGCTGCCACTACCATAATCACCAATATGTATTAATTGAGCACCTACTCTGTACAGGACAATGTTTCTTTATGTCACTTTGTGTTTTATCTCTATAACCAGAGAGTAGTCCTTCTTTCATACCCACAAGGGCTTGGTCCTAGGACTCACCTCTGATAATAAAATCTGTGCATGCTCAAGTCCCTTATATAAAATAAGTCTGCATATGTTCAATACAAACACGAGTTTTCCCAAAAATATTTTGATCTGTAATTGGTTAAACCTGTGAGTACCGCGTGCTGACTGAATAGTATGTCAAAGGCAATTGGAAGACACAGAGCCCCCTCTCTTCCACTAACCTGCAGTGGGGTCTTAGTTAAATCTCTGAATCCCCAAGCCTGCTTTATCATTTGTGAGAGGGGAATACTTGTTCCTGCCCTGCCTTTCTCACAGGCTTGTCGTGAGCACCAGAATGGAAGGTTGTCAGAATGTTTTCTCACATAGGAGGGTTTTTTTTTTTTTTTTTTTTTTTTTTTGTGGTACTGGGGCTTGAACTTAGGGCCTTCACCTTGAGCCACTCTGCCAGCCTTTTTTGTGAAGGGTTTTTTCGAGATAGGGTCTCACAAACTATTCTTCTGATCTCTGCTTCCTGAGTAGCTAGGATTGCAGGCATGAGCCAGATTTCTGTGTCTCCCATCCAGGCACTAACCAGGCCCAACCCTGCTTAGCTTCCGAGATCAGATGAGGTCGGGCAGTAGCTTGACTGTAGACAGATTTCTATTTCTCTCTGTTGGGCATGCTACCTCACATATAAGTAGTTAGGCAGTGAACAGGATGTGGTTGATGAGGCTGTCTGCTTGGGAATATTTCAGAACTGGTGTTTGGCTTCATTGGAGTCAATTTTTATATGTTTTGGTAGACTTGTGTGTGTGTGTGTGTGTGTATGTGTGCATGTGTGTGGTGTTTTGTGGCTGGGGATCAAACCCAGGGCCTCACACATACTAAGTACATACCCCACCACTCACTGTAACACCAGATCCTAGATTTTCTTTTTCTTTTTTTTTTTTTTTTGGTAGTACTGGGGTGTGAACTTGGTGCCTCAGGCTTGCTAGCTAGATAAAACTTGAGCTACTACACTAGCCCCAGATCCTAAATTTTTGTTGTTTTGTTAAGAGAGGATCTTACTATGTAGTCCCACTTGTGATCCTCCTTTCTGTGCCTCTCAAATGCTGTGATTACAGACATGCACTACTATGCCTGGTTTTAAACATTTGTGTGTGTGTATGTTTTGTGGAATCTGGATTTGAACTCTGGGCTTTGTGCTTGTAAAGCAGGCACTATACTGCTTGAGCCACACCTCCAGTCCATTTTGCTCTGATTATTTTGGAGATGGGGGTCTAGAGAACTGTTTATCTGGGCTGGCCTCAAACCCTGGTCCTCTCCATCTCAGCCTTCCAAGTAGCTAGGATAAAGGGCATGAGACACTGGTGCCTGGCTAGCCATTTGTGTTTTCAGAGAGTTTGGTTATTTCTTTGAGAAATTCTGAGATAAGTTAACCTAGCTAACTTTGGTTTGAACTCAGGGCTTTGTGCTTAAAAAGCAGGCTCTACTACTTGAGCCACACCTCCAGTCCTTTTTACCCTGGCTGTTTTGGAGATAAGGTTTTGCTTTTTGCCTGGGCTTGCCTGGAATCACCATTCTCCTGATCTCAGCCTCCCAAGCAGTGAGGATTACAGGCATGAACAACTGTGCCTTCTTCTTCTTTTCTTTTTTTTTTTTCTTTTTTGCAGTACTGGGGTTTGAACTCAGGGCCTTCACCTTGAGCCACTCCACCAGCCCTTTTTTTGTGATGGATTTTCAAAATAGGGTCTCGGAAACTATTTTCCTGCGCTGTCTTCAAACTGCAATCCTCCTGATCTCTGCCTCCTGAATAGCTAGGATTACAGGAGTGAGCCACTGATCCCAGGCTCTAACTCTTCTTCTTAAGTGAAATAATTGAATTAAAAGGTGTCTTGTAGGCAACAGGAATAAACTTGGCTGTCACTTTACTGAATGAAAAGTGGTATGAAATCTCAAGCCAAGAAATTAGTGAATTACCTTTCTAGTTTACCTTTCAGTACCAAGAAGTGAGTGTTTTTTAAATAAGGGGAAACCAGTTACTTTTATTCCTTACTAAATGGCTATCTTGAGACTTTAATTTATTTCTTTCTGGACACTGTGTGTTTGATTGAAATTAAACTTGAAAATGTTGCTTGCTGTCTCCAGAGACTCTGGCTTAACCAACTCTAGTTCAAATACTGTCTGTTTTAGTGAACACCACACTGTAGGGACTTGTTAAAATTCTCACTTCCATGTGCACAACAGCATGTCACATACTGTGACCACCCTAGGTTCTCCTCATGCCCCAGGAGTCTGGCAGAGGAAATGTGGAGACAGGAATGGTTTAGTCAATTTCCTAAGAACACAGGTCTGGGAAGTAAGTGGTACAGTTTAAACTGGAAACCTGGGCTGGCTTCATGTCACTCACTAAAGGAACTAACTGAAGGCAGCACAAGAGGATAGAGGAGTGAAATGCAACAATTCTGTCTTCCAGCCTCTCGTCTGGAAGCTCATCCAGTATCAAGAAAAGGTCATTTGTTTCTGCACCACTTTCCTTCAAGTCTGGACTTGATTGGCATGCGAAGTCAGGTGCTGTGGTAAGGCGGCCCTGGCCATGCCTATTGTCTACCAGCTTTTTTTTTAAACTCAAGGCTTCATGCTTATAAGTGAGGCACACACAAAGTGGGCACTCTATCACTTGAGTCACTGTCTAGTTCATTTTCTCCGGTTATTTTGGAGATGGGGTCCCAAGAACTACTCAGGTTGTCCTCAAACCTCAATCCTCCCAATGTCAACCTCCCAAGTAGCTAGGATTACAGACATGAGCCACTGGTGCCTAGTTCAGCTTTTGATTTGATTCTCATGGCTCCAGGGAAAATTTATTCCAAGTGTCATGGCACACAGTAAGATTGATTTGTTTGGTTGTTCATTTATTTGCTCCAAATATTTGAGCACTTTCCTTCTGAAGGCACAAAGATAAGACAGACATGATGCAGCCCTCAAAAAACCAGTGGTGTCTTAGAGGAGATCAGGCATGTTTGGAATCACCACATTTGGACTCTGAAAGACACTCAGGTGTGCATTCACAGAAGTCCAACACAGGCAGAACTGGCTTTCTACTGGGAGACAGGGAGGCCATATGCACAGGGCATCCTAGGCTAAGAAAAGGAGACATTGGGGGAAATTGACTGGAGTGAGATCATGAAAAGCCCTAAATGCTAAGAGGTAAAGATTTATCTATTGGCACAGGGGACTTTGGAGTAGTTTCTGAGCATGGCAATAAGCAGAATCTATGCTTTGGGAAGATTAATTTGGTCTCAGTACATATAATGTGGAGATGGGAACCCAGGGTAGGGAGACTAATCAGGAGGCATCGCTCATCCCTCAATCAGCAGGCCCGTCATAGCCCAAGGTCCTCCTGTCAACTTCTCTTCCCCTAGACTCCTCAACCCCAGCTCCAGGACTTCCCACCTCTTCTGGGAACACTCATCCACATTGGTTGCCTCAGTTGGTTTACTTCTACTGGGTTCAGCCAACTGAAGTTTGGCTTCTACCCCTCCACAAACCCAATAATACCACTTTCATGAGGCCAGCTATACATCTCTACAGCTGACCTAGTGAGCAAAGTTCAGCTATTATCCTAACTTACCTTTCTCTCTCTCTGAAATTCTTTCCTCCCTGACTACATTTTGTTTTTTGTTTTTTTTTTTTAAGTACTGGGGATTGAACAGGACCTCATGCTTGTTAGACAAGCATCCTACCTCTGAGCTACACCCCACCCCCCATTTTTTCTTATCATTTCCCATTCTTTTTAATGTCAGTGTGCTGACTTTCTTCTTTGACGTCTCCTCATTCCTTTTTGTCATTCATGTATTTTAAGAAGTGTTCATTGAGCACTAGGCATTGGGAACACAAAACTATCCTTGTCTTCATGGAGCTGATTTTATTTTAATATTTTTATTAGGATATATTCTTTATTGTGGGGATTTGAAGTTGGAGCTGATTTTAGTGTAGGGACACAGACAATGAACAAATAAGTGTGTTGGATGATGAAAATCTTACGACAAACTAAAGCAGGGAAAGGCTAAGCATTAAGAGGATGATATTTTATTTGGTGTTGATAGGAAAGACATTTCTAAAAGTTGCTTTTGGGCAGAAACCTGATGGAGGGAGAGAGAGCATAAACTGTTCAGATATCAGGGAGAGGACCATTCCAGGCAGAGGGAAGAGCACAGAGCGAAGGCCCAGGTGCACGGTCATACTTATGAATGAACAAAAGGTGTGAAAGGATGCTGGAGAGGTGGGAGGGGCTGAGCAAGGCTGACAGTGTGGGAAATGAGGCCCAAGAGGCTAAGTGAAGGCAGGCCAGGGAGGGCCTTGTGGGCCAGGGAAAGGCTGTGGATCTTACTCAGAGATGGGAAGCCACTAGAGGGACTTAGCAAAGACTGACTTGAAGTGATGTAGATGTGTAAAGGATCTCTCTGGGTACTGCAAAAAGAACAGTCTATAGGGGAGCAAGGGTAGAAGTAGGAGGACTACTGGGAAGGGATTGCAATGACCTGGGGAGAGATGTGCTCTCCAAGTCAGTGCTGTACCAATAGAGAGCAGAGGTGTGGTGGAGCGCTTGCCTAGCATGTGTGAGGCCCTGAGTTTAAGTCTCAGTACAAAAAAAAAAAGGTCAGATTTGCTAATGGTCTATATGAGTAACATGAGGAAAAAGAGGAGTTGGGGGTGACCCTAAGGTTTCCAGTTTGAACAACTGATTTAAATTTAAACATGGTGTTGAGA